AGCCTTTGTATACAACAGTCTTCTTACTCTAAGATAGTAGCTCTCACTCAGAGCCAATTGGTTTTTCACTCAAAGGAGCTGTCATCAAACTTCCCAAATCTGGTGCAAAAGGAATACATAGCTGGTTTATTAGTTCACTCACTGACCATTTACAGCGGTTTCATAATTGTAATTGTGTATATTTTCTCCATTACTTTTTGCTGTAATTAGTCATAATTAGTTTCTATTTTCAATACCTGTTAGCACACTTTGTGAGCTACATTTCATAAGATTTATATTGAAATTATTTGTCAGTTTTCGCTTCTTCATGACGAGTTTAAGCACATAAGATATGTTTTGCAAGAATAAAGTATCGGGAGGAAACGAGACATATTTGATCAAAATGAGAGAAAAATCAGACTCAAAGCGATCAAGATGGAATAATAATAAGATTTAAAGCAAAAAACCCCGAGGTGATAGCGCCACGGCACTGGCCAGCGCACTAACATCTAAATTTCACATTTTTTGAATAGTGTAGCACCAGGGTCCCGTGTGTAGCGCCATGGCGCTGCCGCGACAACTTTTTATGAAAATAGGGTTGTGCAGCCACCGAAAAAGAGGAGTTCGGAGAGGTTTTTTGGCAGTTTGCCTTTTTGGCCAATTTGGAGGGCAAGGAGACCCATTGGAGAGCTTATAAAATATATTTTCAAGGCTCAGGATCATGGAGGTCACTTCCGGGACAGATGATTGACACTCCAGATTTAATTTCTTCTCCTTTCCGTTGATTCTTCTAGTTTGTTATGGAATTATCATTGGGATTTGATTGTTTTACATTAAATATGAGTAGCTAAACCTCTTATCTTAGAAATTGATGTAGCCATTGGACTTTACGGATTGATTCTTTAGTTCTCTTTATTGAATGTTTATGAATGTTTTATTTATGCTTCTCCATGCTTAATGGTTTTAATATATTGACCATGGATTGATTAATTTTATACTTGAATCTTACGTTCGGGAGAGGTGATTTAGAGTTAGAACTGAGATGCGTAACTAAAGAAGTTTTAAGATCGGGAGATTTAGAAGTTCTTTAGAGGTCATTAGAAGACTTGCTCAGTAAAGCCTTTACTTATTATAGAAACTAGATAGGGATATTGGATTCTTAATTGGTAAGGAGAATTAGCTTGTGCTCAGGAGAGGCAGTTGATTTGAGAGTTCTTGGCCTATAGAATTAATCATTCATTCAATCTGGAGTAATTGATTAATTGGTTCATAGATTCAATAGGTGAAATCAATTCTCTAAGACCTTTCTCCCCCTTGTTTTTATCTTTATTTTAGTGCATGTTTATTTGCTTTGATTCTACTCTCCCATTTAGATTTAATTCTCTAAATAAAATTAAGCAATTGTATCTATGGTACTTTAGTGAGCTAGAATTCCAATCAAGAGAACGATATCGGTATTCACTTACCATCTATATTAAAACTTGACCCATACACTTGCGGTAAGCATTGCTACAAGTTTTTGGCGTCATTGCTAGGGATTGACAATTATTTAGTTTCACTTTCGTGGAGAACTTGCTTGGTCTTAATTTAGAGTTTTTTTTTCTCTTGTATTTATTTTCTTTATCTTGAATTTTCTTCTTTATTTAGAATTTTTTATTTTAGTTTTTGTGTATTATTTTTCTTGTTACTTGGTTGAGTGGTGTATGCCTTTATGCTTGAATAAATAATGTCTTTTTAATATTACGAGTGGTCTTACGAGGAGTCTTCGACCACCCAAGGGCCACCACCATCATTTAATTCTTATTCTTCAATTTACCCCTCTTATGACCATGAGAATTCATATGTTAATTATGAGTGTTTTCAGGAAAGTCAAGTGCCTAATTATTATCTTTATGATTATATGAGATATGGAAATTCTTTGTATGGTGACAATGAAGGTACTTGGAGCCAAAATAATCCCAATCAGAGTGAGGAAAATTCGTCCCTTGAAGATTTATCACGAGAATATACTTTGGAATGTAGAATTAAAAATATTTGTGTAGAAGAATCAGAAAGGATGAATAAAATAGAGGCCACAATTGAAGAAAACGGAGTTGCTATAAAGCGTTTGGAAATAAAACTTAGCCAGATAGTTTGTTCAATTGAAGCCCTTCAAGAACAAAATTTTTTCCATACCACTGAGGCAAAAGCTTGTAAAGTTGTATGCGTTGATAATGGAGATGAGTTGGAAAACTTTAAGCAAGCAGAAACCTGTGAAGCTATTTGTATTGATAGTGGGATTGAGTTGGAAAAAATTGAGCAACACTAGGAAGTATAGTTTTGTGAGATAACGAAAGAACATGAGCATAATTTAGAAGAGGAAATTCAAGTGATAAAGGAACATGCTAAAAAACCTAATCCTATTTTATCTTTCGAAAATTCTCTCTTTTTTTTTTTCATCTGAGCCTACTAGAACCTAGTAGGATACATTGACTGAAGGAAGAAGGGGCTGAAGAAAATTGAGGAGTTTTATACACCTTAAAGATAAAAAAATAAAAGAGAGTCACATCTAGCTACAGACGTTACATAAATTGCTTTTGGGGGGGCAACCCAGAGTTTTCTTTTTAGTTTGTTTTTGTTTTTATGTTATCTTAGTTTCTTTATATTTATTTTTCTCATTACCTTTTGTGTTTCATATAGGCTTAATGTAGATTTTGACGGTATGTTTAGACATCTTGGCGCTATACAATATTGATATTAAATTTAGGGCAGTATTGTTCTTTCCCCTTTTCATTTTCTTTATCCTCGTTGTCCACTTCATACGTATATTTTTGTTACATTGAGGACAATGTAATTTTTAAGTTTGGGAGGATTTGTTCTATTTTGACTTGATTAGGGACAATTATTATCTTGATGGATGTTATATTGCATGTTTGTTGTGCTATTTCTACCTTTCAATGTAATAGTTAAGTTTGGGGGTGAAGATTTTTGTCATCTTTTTCATGCTTTTGACTCAGTATGTATCATGATTCATATGTGCTAATTTCTCCTTTTGAAACTTTGAATCTTGGTTGATACTGCCCTTGAATACTTTGTAAGTTATGAATACATCTTGGGCTTGATTTCTTATGCATGAAGGAGATAAACATGATTGATTTTCTTTCATAAATTAGAAGATGGTATCTCATTGATTTCTTAGTTGAAAAATGCATTTAACTTGATACAGTTTACACACCCAAGTCAGTTGTTTGAGCTTATGAGCAACCCCTTATATTTGCTCAATTTATTTTCATTCTTGTGTGTGATCGAACATATCATGATTATTTTAGAACTTGCCTACGAATGCATTTTGTGACCGCTTATTTGGGTTGATGCTTTAATATGATAAGGGTAATTTACAGTGAGTTTTGTTGGGGGTTGTTGGAAGCTCAAGTGTGAATCTAGGGTAGTGGCGACAAGCCGCAAGAGATCTTCTGTTTATGTGTCAGAGTTTGGGGTTGCCAAGAGTTCACTAAGACAGAGAATGCACAGAGTAGATGCAGATGGTTCAGGACGAGACCTTAAAGGACCAGCAACATTGATGACCAGAAAAGATCAGAAGAATTTGCCATCAACTCAAGTTAAACAGCTGGGAAGTACAGAAAAGGGAAATGAGAATTTGATAGGTCATCGAGTTCACACCTTAGCAGTTAGACGTTCAGGCAAGCTGGTGAAGTCGCATAGGCGAATTAGTGCATTTAAGGGTACGAGTTCTATTTCGAGTGTGGTGACATGCTTGGGTGGGAGTGTCAAGCCTAATGTAGAGAGAAAATCTTCTTTTAAAGGTTAGTGGGTTTGATTAAAGAAAAAAGCAAACAGAGTTTGGGGCAGAATCAAACAGAGCTTGGGGAGGGTCGAGCAGTGTGGATCAGTTTGTTGACAAAGCTGTTAGAACTGAGCCTTGGCGGGGTTGTCAAGATGAGGGGACACTGTTGTTGCAGTGAGAGGTAAAATTGTTATTTTGTCTCCAAGTGGGAGATTGTTGGGAATTGGATACAGAATTAAAAAAAAAAAAGGTGAAAACAAATTAATGGTCCAAAATCCCAATTTAATGTTGCCCTATTTTTTTTGACATATATGTGTTGTGGTTGTGAGAACCAAAAAAAAAAAAAAAAGTAGCCACGGGGTCTTCTTTGTGCAGTAGATTTTTCGGGTGTTTTTTGTAGCAATTTCGTGGCGATGGCTCATGTTTAATTCAGGGATATTTTTGGCAATTTCGATATGTTTTGGGTAATTTGTTCTTGATTATTTTGTGAGTTTTTCATTCATATACCTAAGTATTTGTGTTAGATTGTATAAATGCTATCAGCTTTTGTTGGGACCTCTAGGGATATTTATGGGGAGAGTTTATTGTAATCTAATCTTGACAATATTAGTAAATTACTCACATCTGAGTGGAAGACTGGATGTAGCCCTTAGCTGGTGAACCATTATAATTTTGCTGTGTCGTATTCTTGTTATTTACATACAGTTTCTTCCTTATTTGCATATTGTGGTGTGTGTTTGGATATTCATGGAGAAATTATTCAGGGCCATTAATTTCCCAACAATGTGAAGGTGTTTTTTCTATAGATTTAAAATGGAGCTGGACTTGAGGGCTATCTCCTTCCAAATTGATGGTTGCTGTCAGGAAGTTCATTTTCCCAATGGGATCCGGTCCCCGTGGGGACCCACCTAAATTAAATGAGACGGGGAACCCCGTTTAAATTCCCAACCACCTAAATAGGGACAAGGGATAGGGAATACGTTCCCCATCCCCATTCCCTGCTTCCCGCCCCACGTCATTTTTTTAAATATTTATATATATACATACACACACTAAAATAATTATATTATTCTCTTTAAATATATATTTACAAAAAAAATCATGTATTGTTCTCAACCCACCAACCTAATATATGTGTTTGAGAGAATTAGGCATTATAAATTAAGCAACTAAATAAATTTTCTTTAAGAAAAAAAATATTTCTTGACAAATAATTTAAAACATAAAAAAAGAAATAGGGAAAAATTGCCATGATCGCATAAAGTGTAATTACATTGTTATAGGAAGAAAATAGAGATCAGACTAAGCAACCGAAAAGGAGCCAAAGAAGGAGCGAAACCGGGAAGCAAGGTAAGTGGATTGGGGCCCGGCAACCCAAGTCGGCCATAGTTGACTCGGGGTCGGCGCCGAACACTGCTTGATGTTGACTTGACCTCGGCACCAAGGCCTTCTCGACGTCGAGGAGTTCTTAGCTCGATGGCCGAGAGCTTCATCAATTCTCCCCAACCCTCGCACAGCCCGATCCGAGTTAACTTGGTCTCGACCCTCAATGCAGCATGAGGTCCACTCCATCTAGATCTCCTGATTACATTAGGATTCTACTGATGTAAATCCTCAAGGGATTAGGATTCAACCTCTATAAATAGGAGGGTAAGCGTATGTCACAATACCTTACACTTTATACTCAACTACTCCGATCTTAACTTAAGTATCAGAACCTGTGTAGAAAGAGCCACATCAATCTTAGTGCTATTCTATTTTGCAGGTCTCGTCAATCCATTTATTCTAGAAGAATTGGTGCGAATTTGACAGAATTCTAAGAAGCCAAATTTCTGCATCAACAAGTATGACTTGGACTTACTTTTTAGAATTGTTGGGACCGATAAACCTGAAAATAAAAGTTACAAAGGTTATTAAACTCATATTAAATTATTGTTATTTAGATATAATAACTAAAATAGGGTATAATATTTCAATTTTGCATAAAGTTGGGTAGTTTTTAATATCAAGACTTTTTACGAGATAATATTTAAATTTTTTTATATGAATTAAATTACAAATGATACGTTTTTACTCCAAGTTATTTAACAAACGATTAAGAAAAATAACCATTATATATCTGACAAAAGGTCATTTCAAGTTAAGTATAAATGTATGATAAAAATCTGGTGAATTCAATTGGAGGATAAAAGCAAGAAATTAAATTAAAAAAATCAGGTTGTTTGAATACCTCTTTCGATGTGGAAGGACAAATGAAAATTTTAAAAACTTTGAAAGTAAATGTGCTAGATTCTTGCTATAAAAATAAAAAGGAAGAAAAAAGTGTTGATTGTTAAGGAAGCTGAATTCAAAAACTATTGTTAATCATATTATACAAATAAATTTAATTAAAAGATGTATTTTTTAAAAAATTAATAAACATTTGGTTGTACGAAACATAAAAATTAGTTAAAGCCAACTTGAACCTAGCTGGGTTAAGACGCTTATGTGCAATCAAAAGATTGTGAGTTTTGAATTCTCATCCCCACATGTTGTACTATGAAAAAAAAGTTAAAAATTATTTCATAGTCCGATTGAAAACCTAAAAAATATTAAGGCATCCAAAAATAATTAATAGGAACAACAATAACGTCAAATTTCCCCGCCAAAAATATATAGTTGTGAAATTGAGAAACAAAACAGAACTATTGAAGCACATAAAGAAAATATCAAAATAAGAGAAAAAGAGATGGAAGAAGAACGGTGAAATTTTGGCTTGATTTCCTCTTGAGTTTCTTTTGGATTTTCTTCTTCCCATATACCTTTCATGAAAATTCATAAGCCTTTTATAGACAATTTGTACATGATGGGTAAGCATTTAGACACAAAGATAGGTGACATATTGACAAATGAAGCTTTGGGCATTAAGACATATATGTGTTGTTTGTGCAACAAACACATGGACATCTATAATATACATAATATTCCTCTTAGAAGCCCATTATTTATGATATCTAGGTGATATTGTTCAAACTTTACTAGGAAAAAATCAATGAGAAAAACCCAGGGAAGGAAAAGTACATATTTCATATAATCTAATAAATCAAAACGAATGCAATATATTTGCTCCCTTTCATGAAAACATCATTTGAGATCTTTGAGTCGTTGCATTAAGTGATGTGCATCAATTTTTCAAATGTTGCAGTAGATAGTGCATTTGTAAATAAGTCTGTTAGATTATCTCTTGAGCATATTTTTTGTATAGTGATATTGCTATATTCTTCAAGATCATGAGTGTGGAAAAGCTTAGTGAAATATGATTTGTTATATCTCCCTTTAGTATATCTTCTTTTATTTGGGCTATACATGCTGTGTTTATCATTGTATAATATCGTTGAAAGATTTTTTACTAAAAGACAAGCTACATGTTCCCCAAATGTGCTAAGTCATATTAATCTTAACCCATATACATTCTCGACTACCCTTGTAAATTGCAAGAATTTTAAATCGATTTGAGGAGGTGTCCATTATGCTTTGTTTCACAGACCGCTATGATATAACAGTTCCTCCATATGTGAATAGATAATCGGTTTGAGATCGAACCTTGTGTGGATTAGATAAATATCCAGCATCTACATAGCCAACTAGATAAAAATTCAATTTATGAGGATTAAACAAACTCATATCAATTGTTTCTTGAAGATAATAGAATATATACTTAACTCTATTCCAATGTCTTTTTGTTGGAAAATGTAAACCCTAAATTTGTTTGGTATTTTATTTCAGCATTCTCTTTAATTTCGAGTCTAGTAATTTTTTGTCTATAATTATTGTTTAAATTTTGTGTCAAACATTTTCCTTCTTTTTGTGTTTCATAAAATAATAATAATAATAATAATAATAAATAAATAAATAAATAAAAGATAAATAAATAAGTTACTTTGAACAAATATAGATTTCTTTTTTTTTTTTTCAAAGGGAAAATCATTTTGAGGTACACAACTTGTAACATGAATTTCAATACCAATGCTTTTGCCACTATGCCATACACTAAGATATCAAATAATTTCTTTGTAATTTGAAAAAATGTTAATTTGATTTAGTAAACTTCGGTAAAAGGAACCAAACGTTTCAATTAATCATATACTTATTTCCTTTCTTTTTAAGATGGCGTAAGCCGTAATTAAAAATAATATTAAAATCTTCTTCTTTGTTATTTTGTCTAAATATTTGATATTTTCATTAAAAAAATGAGGATTTGAAGTTTCTATAAAATTTCTCTCTACCAACGTTTGATCCCCTTTTGTCTCGATTTGTTACTTTATCATTCTCCCGTAAACTTCTCTCTCACACTTCTTACTCGTTTCTTAACAATAACTAAAAGAAAACGAAAGTCATCTCAATGAAGAACTAATAAGTTTAAAAAAGGGAAACATATCATTAGATGAGTATATAAAGAAGCTCAAAAGCATTTGTGATAGGTTGGCTGGAGATTATGTCACAAAAGTTTTCATCTAGCTAGAGGGTTGGGAGTAAAATATAAAGAATATCGGCACAACAATGCTCACAAAGCCACCTAATCCTACCTATAACCAATTTGTTATTGACTTAAAAGTATATGAACAGCAGCTGTCATCTGAGGAAGAAGAAGAAAAATCCAACCAAATCAACCACAACCAATGTTTCTACTCAAATCGTGGAGGAGCGGAAATAGAGGTAAAGGAAAAAAAATCTTCAAAGGACAGAGGTTTTCAACATGGCATACCAAATTCCTCTCTTCAACAAGGTAATTCCAATTACACTCGACAGAATGATCAATCTAACAAGATCTCTAGAAATCTGTTCAAGCAGGATTCAAACTTTAGTGTTGTCATACATGTTAAAAATCAAAGCACACTGTCATCCAATGCTGGAAAATGTTTGATCATTTTTACCAGTTTGAAAGATTTGTAAGGTGAATGCAAACAAAGTCACACATTGGTTAGGGAAAAACATGATTCATAGTATATAAGAGAGGACAACTATCTGATGGAGAAAATACATACATGCGCAGCGGAAGTGAGCAAGAATCGAAATAACAATCTAGATGCATAATACAACCTAGGATTAAACATGCATGATCATACATTATGATGCTTAAAGATAAGTAGAGAAAAATACAAACCTTTGTAGCTTTTCAAAATAGCTATTCTCAAGGCTTGGAATAGAGTGGTGTGACTCTTTTTAGAGAAGGAAAAAATTAGAGAAAAGTGGAGCTAAAAAGAGTTATGTAAGCTTTTTGGAAACACATCAAATGGCCAAAGGTTCCAAGCGATCTTGATGTTTGAACAAAAGCCTTCTTAAATAGGCAAATTACATGCAACTCTTGCATGTCAAAGTTCACCAAAAGCTTACAACACATATTCCACTCATGCATGGCATGACTAAGTGTCAAAATGCATGTCTAAGTTCACCAAAAGCTTACAACACACATTCCACTCATGCATGGCATGACTAAGTGTCAAAAAGTGAATTTTTGAGATTATTTAAATGTTCCACTCAACAAGTTAGTGGAATTTTTCACCAACTTGGTTAAAAACATTATTTTAATCTACTTTAGTCAACCTTTGACTTTCTCTGGTCAAAGTCAACTATTTGACTTTTTCCAAAATCCGATGTTTGATGAAATCCATGCCTCCGATTATGAATCCGCATTCATAATTTTAATATTTAAATCCTATTTAAATATTTTATCCAAATTTCTCAAATTAATATCATATATCAATTACTTAATCATATCTCATATGATTAACCTAATTCGTACGATTTGAATTATTCATTCAAATTATTCCAAGTTTATTCCTATATGAGCTAGCTAGGGGACCTTATGGACCTACAGATCATGAGCTCCAACGATCCGAGATTAACCGGTTAAACTCTTTAACCTAGTTAACCAACAATCGTTAACTACGCGGTCACTCCACTAAAGCCCGTAGCTGCACTCTCCTCACTGTAGATATATTATGTCCATTTGATATAACCATGATCGGTAAGTCGACCCTTCACAGGTTGTTCGTAATTACAGCTGGGTCAAAATACCGCTTTACCCCTGTAATTACCTCTTGTTCCTTAAGTCCCACTAATCCTCTGATGAACAATGATTTGTAGTYCAACTATCAAATCAAAAAATCCTCTCAAACCTTTTGATGAGGGTGGCGCCAATTGTTCAAGACCTGGATTCAGCCCTTAAGAGAACAACCTCTCTACTATCCCAAAATTGGGTAGAAGTGAATTCTTTCTTGCACCCTATGTCCCTAGCTATCTACCGGGTCTTACCCCTGAAATGGGAGGCTTATTGAGCCAGCGCTGTTGAGCTGCTCTCACCCATGCAGATCTAAGGATAATCCCGAATAAACAGAAGTTCATAGTTAGCTCAGGATTAAAATCGAGTTACCTAGGCCATCAAAGTTGAGATAATCAGTTTCAAACAGTAAACGGTGTTATAAAGTAAAAGTGACTATCTCATGGTCCGGTCTTATGCAAACTCTTTGCACGGGACACCCCCACTCGCATGTCTTCACATGAACGAATTAGGATCACATCGTTTGTACTAGCTACAAAGTGGGYYGCATCCATAGTGTCCCCAGMATAAGGCGCCCAACCTTATTCCTATACTATARACCATTTAGACTGTTAACTCAAACTTGATCCATATTTATGTCTCTTACATAGAGTTTGAGTCTYAGGTAACAGTCTAGGATCCTTTATTTTATTGGATTTAGATATAGTAAGAACATTTTATTGGATCAATAACTACTTATTGATTAAAACCTTCAATAACAACTTTATTTAATGATAAAAGTATATCTGTCATTTTCAAACTATGAGTTTTAGGACATAAAACCCAACACTATCTTCATTGGTATAAGTATATAACTTCACGACTTTACTTTTGGTTCCACCTAAAAGACCTTGTACCAATGAAGATAATTGTCCTCTCTTATATACCACAGATCATGTTCTTCCCTAACCAATGTGAGACAACGAGCCTCCCCCAAGTAGGCTCACCACTTCTTTATTTAGCACCTGAAGATTTCACCAAGGCAGCTAGGTTATAGTTGGTGACCATAACTATTTATTTATAAGTTATTGGCCCATAATCATGATCACTTATATTTCCATTAAATAGGAAAAATATAATTGCTCTTTAATTTGTTTTTTACCCACATATGTAATATTTCCTCTCTTATAAGGTAAGATGGATGTGAAAAACTTTTTGTAGGTAATGGACAAGGCTTGCATATATCACACACTGGAAACACAAAGTTAAATACAAAGAATGGTCAATTAAACCTTAGCAATGTGCTAGTAGTCCCAGATATCAAAAAGAACTTAATTTCCATAAGTAAAATTATCGAGGATATAACAACTGCACAATTACTTTTTCTGTTAATGAATTTACTGTGAAGAATCAATAGGGGGAAACACTAGCTAAAGGGCATGAACAAGAAGACTTATATGCTCTGGGGAGTCAACAATAACTATTGCAAGTCTTATATGCTACGCTCTAACAAAGCAAGTTTCTCAATTTGGTATAAATGATTGGGACACTTGAATAACCACTTTCTAAAGATTCTTAGCAATAAACTGCTTATTAATGTATATGATTGGAAGAAAGAAAATGCTATTTGTGTTAATTGTTAACTTAGTAAGAGTTGCAAGCATCCTCTCATTGATAAAGTATCTTTAAGTTCTCGTCGTCCCTTAGATAAAATTCACTGTGATTTGTCAGGCTTTGCTTCTGTTTTATCTCGTCAGCAGTTTAAATACTATGTTGCATTTGTGGATATGATTACTCTAGGTATACTGGGTTATATCCATTGAAAGGAAAATCTTTCTTTACTTGTTTTTTGAAATTTCAAAGGATGGTTGAGAACTAATTAGAGAGGAAAATAAAAATTCTCCAAAGTGACGGAGGAGAAGAATTTAAGTCTCTTGCGCTATAAAATCACTTGAAAGAAAATTGAATTCAACATCAATTTAGTTGTCCTCACACTCCCCAATAAAATGGAGTGGTTGAGAGGAAACATAGACATCTCGTGGAAACAGGTTTGACTATATTATTACAATCCAATACTCTTGTAAATATTAGGTAGATGGTTTCTTACTGCAAATTTTCTCATAAATCGAATGTCATTGAAATCTCTAAATATGAAATCTCCTTTCTTAAATTAAAGTTGTTTCACAAAGAGCCTAGCTATAAAGATCTTAGAGTATTTTGGATGCATATGTTTTCCATATCTATGAGACTATCCTAAAAATTAATCTTCTAAAAAGACATATCGTTGCATTTTTACTAGATATAGTCCTTCACACAAAAGTTTTAGATGTCTTGATCCCAATACAAACCGCATTTACATATCAAGAAATATCATATTTGGTGAAGTATGTTTTCTCTTTAAAAATAAATGTGTTAACAAATCTGTGCAGCCTCTACTTGTGATTACATTTTCAAGGTTCAAGGACATGACTCTACCAAAGACATCACTTCAGACAACAACACCATTGGAGAAAAATTCAATGTTGAAGTGACTACACCTCTAGATTTCAAGACATTACCAGTTGATGAAATCAAGGAAAATAACCAAGCAAAAGACTAAATCAACTACGGTACAACTACAGGAAGGAGACATTAATTTCACCAACTACACCATGTATGCAAGAAGGAGAACCTCAATTTGCTCCAATATGTGCACCAAGACAGAAATACTGCTCGATCCAAGACAATGTGATGACAGATCTTTATCAAAGACTTTACAAGAAATAAACCAGGATTTTGGAAAACATCATGAGCAATTATGAAATCATGCCTTATACCAATGAGCTCACTAATCCTTCACTTAGTCACTCATTTCATGAATTACCTACATTAGCAATAAATTGGTTGTGGACTTGACTCCTTGTGTGCAGGGCAAACAAAATCTCCCTCTGTGACTGACAACACTCAAAAAAGATCATCTCACTCAATGATAACAAGAGGAAAATTAGCCTTAAATCCAGATCTTGATCCCATATTACCTAAAGAAGTTCAAGTTGTTAGAAAATACAAACAACAACCTCTCTCCCTTATGGCTCTCAATGCTCCACTTCAGAATTGAAAAACTATAACATA